TAGAGACATTCAGGAAGCCGACTTATCCTCCCGCAGGAGTTAGTCGATCAAAAGTAAGTATATATATATGCCTGACGAGCGGCAAGAACCGCGAAACTAGTTGTGTGCTTCCAGGGAAATTTTATCCAATCATTCACACATATCTATACATATAACACCTGCTCGTAGACAAGCATGGTATCGTGGGTAGTGATAAGTGGGCTACTTGTCAAACGTCCCAACTTTTGTTTGACTCTGTCTTCTGTATCCGATCCTTCCCCTTTGCCCCTTCTTCCGATCCATAACATCCTATCAGCCAACTTGGTCGTCACTCGTTAAAGCTCATTGCCAAATAGCATTGTTAGCAGTTTACCAGTAACTAACTTACAGATTCTGAAGCCTCGTCAATCACTGAATCTCTGGGTCTTCAACGTGAGGACTGTGATGAAGGTGGGTCAACAAGCGTGTCCTGAGTGTACAGTAGACGCCTTGAAAATTGATATCTGTTGCGTATCGGACACACGAATTAAGGATCCCAATGGCATAAGCCTTGTGAGTGCTGCGGTTCTGCCCTCGAGGTACTTTCTCTGCACATCAGGGGTCGATCAAGCCTCAAAAGCAGTAAACATTTTTCTTTTTTTCGAAAAAGGATACTATGCATTTTTGAGGTTAGGGTGCTAAAATGATGTATTTAGCTACGTTCTCTATCATATCGTCTATTCTGGGAGGTGGATATGCGTCCAGGCTGGTGAACTTATTGATTTTTTGGCTATAGTCCACCACCAAGCTCTGTGGGATGCAGTGGGAATGTTCTGGTAGAACATGGATTGTCGCTCTGCCATTTCTAGGTTGATCGAAGGCCTTTTGAAAATTCAGCGAACTATTTTCCAGTAGGCGTTATCTGATATGGTTAGGTTGAATTACAGTAATAATTGCATCTCGGAGAGCATCGTCTCGGTTTTACTCGCGGATAGTGAACCTGAAAGTGCAACCTCTTGCCAGGGACTTTAACTTCTGAATGAACTGATCGAGAGATTGCCCCCTGGCTGTTGCGAGGATATGACGGACGAAGACCTCATTTTTTGGGCGCACGTAGAGGTTACTGAGCGCCTCCATTGCCATTTCATAGGTTTCACATGACATGTTCGTAGACAGCAGGAAATATGTATGAAATCAGCATATCCAGTTTGTCGGGTTTTAAATTATCCACTGACTTGAGGAGGCTGAGAAATGCGGGCATCTGTTTATGCAAAAGTCTATACAAATACAAATACAAAAGTGCTGTACTAATGGTTCCACTGCCTGGTAGCATCTGGTAAGCTAGGTTCAACATCGAACCGTTCGAGTCGTAATATCCGATCCATTGCTGTATGTCGAATAAATTATAGTGTTATTGCAGCATACATGAGAAACCAGAAAGAGAAGGGTCCAAACGTTAGGATTTATTCGACATACAACGTACGTATGGAAGCTAAAAAAGGGAGAGGAGATATAAGTCAGAAAAGCGATATACAAAAGATTATGTCAATTCTGGTAGCGTAAAGGTCTACGGTGGTTTGAGCAAATCGTTCGAAACCATTCGCGGTATTCTTCAAGGGTACCCGACATCACCAGTCCTGTTCGACTTCGCCGTAGGCAAAATATTAGAGAACGCACTTAGTGGTCTCCAAAACGTAGGTATTGACTGGGTAGCCGAGGAAATGCTGTGCGACGTAGGGCACACTGACGACATTTTCTTTTCAAATGAATGGAGGATGCGCAGAGCTCTCTTGACAGACTTTCAAGTTCTGTTGTTCCATTCGGCATGCGCTTTGTTGCAATCAAAACCATGAATGTCGGTAAAAGCAGTCTGAAAGCACGTGTGAACGTGAGCATGTAAAACGATATGCTGTATGGTGTGCAACCCCACGATGGGCTGTTTTAAGAAACCAGCAACACCAACCCTTAGACTTGGAGTGAAGAACCACGTAAAGCTCCAATTGGCTGAGCTTGGTATTGCGCCTGGCGGCATCGGAGCTGTCTGTTACCTCGTTTAGTTACTGACCTTGTGCCACAACGATATTTGATTTTCTCCATTGTTTTAAACTGCTATACTTTTACTTTTCGTTCCTACTGGCGGCAGACTACCCATGATAATACGTGTTTACTCTACCCCTCTTCCTTCTATCCAACGTAGTCTAGCTTCTGTGCGACGTGCAGCTTATTTGGCATTGGTCTTCTTCTTGCTGCTGGCATTGGGAAATGTAATGCTGGGTTTGTTTTCTGCCCGGACAGCTGATCTACCTCCTTCCTTGATATCACCCTCACATGGGTTTAATGAATTTTCCCCATCCGCCTACGATCAGTTGGTAATTTACAACAGAATCCCAAAGACAGGCAGTACATCATTGGTGAACTTGGTATATCATCTATGGAAACGGAATTCAGTTCGTGTTGCGTTGCTCAACGTGTCTCACAACGGATTGTTTCTTAATCGCATGAACCAGCTGTACCTTGTATGGAACATGACTGAACGTGTCAGTGCACAACAACCACTATTATTGCACGGTCATTTTGCCTATTTGAACTTTGCTCAATTCGGTTCATCTCTACGTCCGATCTACTTGAACATGGTTCGTGATCCGCTCGAACGTTTGGCATCTTACTACTATTTTATACGTTTTGGGGATGATTTCCGTCCGAATCTCACTCGTCGTCGTATGTCCGACCCGAATCAACGGATTCTCACATTTGACGAATGCGTACAAACCGGCGGCGTGGATTGCAACCCAAATGATCTTTGGGTTCAGGTGAGCAAAATTTATCCACATTATATGCGCCTCCTTTTGAGCTGTTTTCAGCTGTATTGTATTGTGTGCAACTTTTGCAAGCAACTGAAGTTTACGGTTCAGTCAAAATTATTATACGTGGCCACCGTCACAGGGAACATGCATAACGGGGGAAAATGTTTGGTTTGGATGTCTAATGTTGATTACCATCCTTCGGAATATGCAATGACGGAACTAGCGAACAAAAGACAGCTGAAACGTTTTGTTCGAGTCAAGTCAAGAAATGCTTTATGCACCCAAAGGGTGAATTTTCAGAAATTTACGAACTTCTACAGTGTATATGTAAAACAAATTGCGATTAACAAAAAAAGACAGTAAAACAAACTCTATACTGTAGTGAATGAGAGGAAGATCAGTGCACGGGTTTTTCCCTGATTTGGGTGATAATCGCCTTACGAATAACCAATAACCGAGCTAGGTTTGTATCTAATTCATTCCGGTAAATGAGAGAAAATGAAATAAGTGACAGGATAGATGCGGGAACGTTACTGTGGATGACCTTGTCACATCCGTTTGGCTATGGTTTGCCGGGTTAGCCTCAACTAGTCGTTGTCTTGCTTTTTCCAGATCGACCGTGAAGTCACAAATCACTTAGGATACTTTTAGAAAACATGTGGTGTTCAGGTGAATGACAGTAAAACTGTATGTCGCTGAATCTCGGTGACTGTGGGGAGAGCGAGTGTACTTACATTGTGACCACGAAATATCTAAGATGACGGGTATTCACCTTTTCTTCGCGGCTGCCAGGTTTGTTCACATTTTGTTGCTATTTGAGGGTCCAGGTTGTCAGCAACCCTTAAAAGTGTTCGATTGACTTTGAATCATCCTACCTTGTCCCCTCCCGACCAAAATATAACCCTTAGTTTTTTTGTCATATTCGTAACATCAGCAGGGGAAAACCTTGTATCGAAAGTTTCCGTTATTTACGCTTCCACATTGGAGTGTTTTTTAATCATGAGGGTTTTCTCTTTTAACTGTAAACTGCATTCATCTTGTTAAGTTTCATAAGCATTGACCATAGAAAACCTGGATTCGATGCGTCTTACTTACACGAATTCTATCTCTTAAAGCCCTAAGAAGAATTGAGCTCCGTGACACGATGTCCACTGACTTTTAACTTTATGAAATATCTCATTTATACTATAGGTCTTTCTGATTATCGTACGCTTATTTGGCCTTGGATTTTTGTTTACTCACTTATCTATGGCGTCTGTGAAATGTTCAGTAGCCTCGATGGGATTCGAACCCACGCATGGACGCCACCTAAGCTTTGTACGCGCAGGCTCTACCAGCCGAGCTGCGATCTCTTTATACTAACAGCCAAAGCCGTGTCCAAGTTTTTTGCCCGGGTCCAAAACAGTGGTGTTCGTCAGGGTTGCGCTCTCTCTCCGTTTTTATTTAACTTTGTCATAAACTTGAGTCTTGAAACAGTCCTGTCCTCCTGCGAGGATAGTGGCATCAATTTGCACTGAGATGGCAGACTGTCGAATCTGGAGTGTGCAGACGACATTGTGCTGCTAAATGAAGATCCAGGTAAATTGCTCGTTTTTCTGGATAGTTCGAGGGCTAGTGTAGTCATGTTCGTTTTGCGTTTTGCGCCTTCAAAGTGTAAAATGCTGCTACAAGATTGGATTGGTCCAGCCCCCAACCTCACCCTAACTGGGGAAGTAGACAAATTTTGCTATCCGGACAGCTATATCTCACCTGACAGACGAGTCACAGATGAAGTGTCGGCACGCATACAGAAAGCTCGGTTGGTATTTACCAACTTGAGACATCTGTGGCGCCGTCGCGACATCCGGCTGTCTGTGAAGGGTCGAGTGTATGCCGTGGCAATTCGGTCATTTCTGCTTTACGATACAGAAACTTGTCCATTAAGGAAACAGAATAAAGATAGACTGTTGGTGTTTGAACACTGCTGTCGCCGCAGCATTGCACGAATCTGGTGGGGTAACCGGACGAGCAATACTGAGGTTAGGCGCAGAGTTTTAGGTAATCGCAGTCGTCCACTGGAACAACATTCCAATCTTCATTCTGCTCTTTTCTCCTATTGGGCAACCAAAAAGCAGGCACATGAAAATGCCTAGTTAATGGTTGTTAAATGTGAATCTGAAGCTTCCGTGTGACAAACTCACGCTAAAAACTGCACGATTAAGCGACGAAATCGAAGTCCTGATCACGGTTTTATTTATTATATATTTTTTATAATTCCACACACGCTTGAGTTCGGACTGTGCCAAACAAATCACAGTACAATAGTCTTTAAAAAGAAAATGGTTCTTAGTTTGCTCCAGTAAAAGATACTGCTAGGTTGTCCAGGCCAAAGCAGGTAAATTTTCTTAGGGAATTCACAGCCGGAGCCATCAGGCGACCAAAGCCTGACCTGAGAGGTAGCGGGGCGGTGTGAAAACCGCAATCCATTGGGGGCCGGTGTCCGGTTCATCGGATCATACACCCTTCGGATAGGATCAAACGTTCAAGGTGCCGAAAATACCTCGATACCCAATCCATCTGGTGTGCGTGGTTCGTTCGCCTCCTTTTGGTTTGTTTTGAATAAATTTTTAGTCAACTCCCTTAGGTGAACTACCAGTGGTCCACCAACCCGGTTATAGCCCCGGATGTCGGCTTTTAGTCCTCTCACTTTGGTGGGGAAACACCTCCGCCACGAGAAGGCAGTGAGTAGGGCCTCCCCCGCAGTGGCTTTTTAAGACGCTTGATCGTATGGTAGCATTTCGCGAGGTGAAAGGGAGGGGTGACTAGCCGTAACTCGGGTCACCCATCCTCGACCATACTGGTGCTTTCATTTACCACTTAGGTTCTGTGATTGGTACAGCAAACCCCTCAATGCAGGCAAACTAAGTGACTGCTTAATAAACATGTCGTTTCTGTTCGTGGGAGTTTCTGATACGGTTGAGAAACTTTGTTAAGTATTTCTCTATTGCACGATGCCTTTGATAGCGGCCGTGAGCTCACTTTGCCCTTTTATTGTCAACCGTGTTGTTAGCCAGTAAAGTTATTATTATTATTTTCGTTCCAGGATTGTTGAGCTTAGAACGCACTTTGTGGTGAATAAATGTTTTCAGTAATTCGTGATCACCCTTTTC